CGGAACTGTTTTAGTCTTGGTGTGCTGCTATGCATTCACATCTGAGACTGGGTAATTTATAATGAATAGAAATTTATTTGGCTCATGGTTTTGGAAGCTAGGAAATCAAAAATGGAGGGACTGCGTCTGGTGAGGGCCTTCTTGCTGAATCCTAATATTGTGGAAGTTATCATAGGATCAAGAGAGAGAAAGGCTAAACATTCTTTCATCAGGAACCCACCACCATCTCTCAGTACTGGTGCATTGAGGACCAAGTTTCCAACGCAATCATTTTGGGAAATAAATATAAATCACAGCATGAACTATTCATACTGCTGGGAAGAAAGGACCTGAAAACAACTAAGAAATTAACTGGAGCTCAGAGGATAGCGCTCATGTAGAAAATTTTGTAACTGACCAACATCAAGGTCTATGGAAAAGAGGAAAGACAAAAAAAAGGAGTCTGAAGACAGAGCTCTTGGGACATTGTGAGAGTAGAGGAGGAAGAAATGGGAGAGGAGAGGATGAGGGAGAAAAGTGTGATCAAAGAGACAGGAGGACAGGAGAGTGCAATATTGTGGAAGCCAAAGAAGGGGGAGCTCCAGGCAAAAGGGGGAGGTGACTAGTGATCAACAATGCAGAAAGGTTACAGAAAAGGAGGAACGGAATATAGTTTTGCCACTCAAAGCTCATCAATGATATCTCTCTTACATGCTTGTTCACTTTCATCCATGGAAGTTTCCACTTTTAGATTTTACATAGATTCTTTTTGTAACAGCAACAATAATAATGAAGTAACCAGTGATTTTAAAGAGGTCAGAATAAGATTGTACATGGCTAAGTTGTGCAATCTTATTAGAAGGTTAGAAAATATAAGCAATGGTTATAAATGGCTCTTGAAGATATTTTACAAAAGAAGAGGAGAGAGAGTTCAAGTAAAGGCAGAAGCAAGGAAGGTTTTAGTCAGCCATATGCTGGAAATGAAATTCTGTGAATGACTCAGAAATTGGCAAATGCTAACCATCAGCCACCTCCCCTCACACCCTGCCAGTTGCTATGCTCTTGAGCACACCACTGCTTCCAGGCTGGGCAGAGGAATGCAGTGGAGAGGAGAGACTGAAAGCAGTTAAAGTAGAGGGACCTGCGAATGGCAGAGGAGAAGGGAAGCTCTTCTAGGTTAGGGAAGTCTAAGTGTCACTGTGCCATATGGGGATACCGAGTTGTTAGAGAATGAGGGATCATGAGGACAGGATGTGGGAGAATCATTACATGGACTCAACTGGAAGAGTTAGTAACTCCGTTGGATATCACTTCCTACCTCAGCTACAGAAAGAAATTTGGTCAAAACTAAAGAAAATTATATTTGGGAATAAACACATTTTAACCTTTATTGAGGTATAACTGACATGTATGGTAAAAAGCTAAGATATTTACTATGTACAGTTTAATATGATGGGTGATAAGTATCCATGAAACCATCAAGCCATCATCACAGTCAATGACACAGACTCATTCATCACCTCCAGAGGTTTCCTCCTGCCCTCCTTTTTTATCCACTGTGATAAGAGTACTTAATACAAGATCTACTCTTTAAGCAAATTTTTAAATATGCAATCCAGAATTGCTAATTGTAGGCCATATCCTCTTCAATAACTCTCTAGATCTTATTTATTTTAAATAACTAAAACTCTGTACCCTTGGATAAACATCTCCCCATTTCTCCCTCTCCCCAGCCCCTGGAAACCAATTTGCTACCCACTTCTTCTTCTATGTGTTTGACTATTTTAAATTCATCACATAAGTGAGAATATGCAGTATTTATTTTTTGTGCTTAACTTATTTTACTTAGCATAATTTCCTGAAAGACCATCCATGATGTCTCAAAAGGTAGGATTTCCTTCTTTTTCAAGGTTGAGTTATATTCCATAGTGTGTATATACCACATTTTCTTAATCATCAGTCCATGGACACTTGGGCTGACTGCACATCCTGGCTATTGTGAACAGTGCTGCAATAAATACAGAAATGCAGATGTCTCTTTCACATACTGATTTTATTTTCTCTGGATAAATACCCAGAAATAGGATTACTAAACCAAATGGTAGTTGTTTTTTTTTTGAGGAAAATTCATGTTAATTCATGCATAAATTGGCTGCACCAATTTATATTCCCACCAACAGTATTCAAATATTCCTTTTTTTAACATCCTCATGAACACTTGTCATTTAAAAAAACTGATTAATAGCCATCCTAATATACTCAAGGTGATATCTCACTGTGGTTTTGATTTGCATTTTCTTGATTATCAGTAGGATCAAGCACCTTTCCATTTACCTGCCAAATATTAATGTTTTTTCAGGAGAAATGTCTATTCAGGCAGGTGCTTTGCCTAAATCAGATTGTTTTGCCATTGAATTATAGAAGTTACTTACATAATTTGTGGATAACTTTTTTCAGATATTTCATCAAGAAATATCTTCTCTCATTCCACAGGTTGCTTTTTAAATTTGCTAATGATTTCTTTTGCTATGCAGAAACTTTTAAGCTTGATGTAATCCTACTTGTCTATTTTTGCTTCTGTTTGTTACCTGTTTTGATGTTATTCAGTCTAAGGTCTAGAAGCCTTTCCCCTATGTTTTATTCTAAGAGGAGGGAAAAATAGTTTCAAATGTAGCTAAACAGCCTAACCTTCATTATGGTATAGTATATCTTTGATTTATACTTAATGCCTTAGAAGTTTCTTCATTATCAATAAAGTTTATAGTAAAAAATCCAAGAGTTGTAAAACAGCCAAATCCTATTAATAAAGAATATATTTTAGTCATCCACAATACTATAGTATAGATTTGGAGAGCCCCCCACCAAGGCCTATGTGTTAAAAGCTTCATCTCCAATTTGGTTTTATTGGCAGGTGGTAGAACCTGTAAGAGGTGATAACAGAAGGTTATAGGTCACTGTGGGTATGTCCTTGAAGGGAACAGTAGGACTTTGGCCCCTTCCTCTCTCTTTTTGCTTCCCAGATGCCACAAGGTGAGCAGCTTGCTCTGCAACTACATGCTTGTAATTATAATGCTGTGTGCCACCAAAGGCCCAAAGCAACAGGACCAACTGGTCTCAAAACTGTGAGACAATACAACCTTTCCTCTTTTTCATTTGATTATCTCAGGTATTTTGTTACAGTAACAGAAAGCTGACTACCACAAATAATAAGAAGAACTGGACAAGAGGGCACAAGAGTTTGAACAAATATGATACTCTAATGTTACACACTGTGTATTTTCTTACATAGGATAAAGTGAACAAACTAAAGCAACATAATCATAATCTTCAGAATAAGAGGCTAAGATATGAAGTTTTGTTTGAGAGAGGCTATAAACCTAAAATCATATTTGAAGTTTCTTTTCTAAAATAACATGTTTGAGATTTGCTCTTTCTTGATATTATTATGATACACTTCTTGTCTTTCAGGATTTTAATTTAATCTTAAAAACAGTTACAACAAATATCCAGTTTTCCCCAAAGGTATTTAAACTTCATTATCAGTTTTAGAGTCTTCTATGTAAATTAACAAATGTGCACAAAAAAAGAAAGTATAAGGAAGGCTGAGAAAGAAGGGCAAAAACAAATATGTTTGGCCAATTCTGGGGCCTGAAATGAGTTTGATTTAAGAGTGTTCTGTAATTACCCACTCATATCTCTGAGGTCCCCTTCAGAGGCTCCTGGAAACAAAGGAATTTCACAGTATTTCAGGGATGACTGTAGGAGAGAGCTACCAGCTGGTCCTACATTTAAGGCAGAAGTCCTGCAGGCTCCTTTTGCAAATGTCAGGAATGTAAGACCTACTCCCAGATGAATATCTCAGGAAGGATAATCTAAGGGCAGCTGAGGACACTTGGTTCCATTCCCTTTGCATCAATAGCATCTCTAACTAATGCACTTGGCCTTCTGTTACTGAGTTTTCTAGCAAGGAATTCTTTGCAACTCTATGATACATCAACTGATTCTCAAATAAAAACTGATTTTTCTTTCCTTTGAGGACAAATACTGTCATCCATGGACAGAAAGAGAGATTAGAGTTCCCAAAGTAATTCAGTGTCCAGAATCTCGGACTCAAAGGTCAGAGAAGAGTTAATCTTTTTTTATTGAAATTTTAAATTAAGGAGCCATTCGCCACCATAGCTCAATGTAAAGTAACTTGGAAATGTGACATACTGTGAAAAGAAGGTAAAATGACATTGAAAAAAAAGGAATAATACCCATATCAGAATATATTTTTAAAAATGTGGGGTGGATCATAAGAATTTCTGTTAATCCCTGTCCCTATCCACAGGGAGGAGAAAGGAAGGATAACATGGTATCTGGCCTGATTGGCAGCCTTATTTTTTTAATATTTATTTTTTAGTTGTAAAAACACATTATGTTTATTTTATTTACATGTGGTACTGAGGATCAAACCCAGGGCCTCACACGTGCTAGGTGAGTGCTCTAGCGCTGAGCCACAACCCTGGCCCATTGGCAACCTTATTGTAGACTAATAATCTATTTGTAGACTAATAATTTGGTATTCAGTTCCCATGATTTGAATATATTGAGAATTTAGGAGAATTTCTAAATTTATTTAAAAAAGAACAGCAATAAAAGTCATGGCTAAGGGGCTGGGGATGTGGATCAAGCAGTAGCGCGCTTGCCTGGCATGCGTGCGGCCTGGGTTCAATTCTCAGCACCACATACAAAGATGTTGTGTCCGCCGAAAACTAAACAATAAATATTAAATCTCTCTCTCTCTCTCTCTCTCTCTCTCTCTCTCTCTCTCTCTCTCTTAAAAAAAAAGAAAAAAGAAAAAAAATGTCATGGCTAAGATATGCTGAGATGGCCAGGCATGGGGCACATGCTTGGGATCCCAGCAGCTCGGGAGGCTGAGGCAGGAGGGTTATGAGTTCAAAGCCAGCCTCAGCAAAGGCAAGGTGCTAAACAACTCAGTGAGACTCTGTCTCTAAATAAAATACAAAATAGGGCTGGGGATGTGGCTCAGTGATCAAGCACCCCTGAGTTCAATTCCTGATAACCCCCCCAAAAAAGATATGATAATATGTTACAATGTGCCAGGCACTGTGCAAAGAACTCTCTATATATGATCTTATCATTTATAGAACCACACAATTATTTACACCATTACCATCACTGATCCAATATTTTAGATATTGAACTTGATAAAGAAGTTTTTATCAAGTTCAAAATCAAGTTTTTCTTTTTAAAGAAGTTCAGAACTTTCTAAGGAAAGTGGCTATTAAGTGGCAGAACTGGATTTTGAGCCTAGGGTTTATCTGGCTGCAAACCCTACTCATCTGATCACTGACTGAGACAATAAAAATGACTGAGACCCTGAGATTTAAAAAAAAAAAAAGATGAATCTAGAGACACATGACAAAATAGAGATCTTTTTTTAAAAAAAAAATGTAGTTGTAGATAGACAGCATAACTTTATTTTATTTGTTTATTTTTATGTGGTGCTAAGGATCAAGCCCAGTGCCTCATATGTGCTAGGCAAGAGCTCTGCCACTGAGCTACATCCCCAGTCCACAAAAAGAGAACTTTACAAACAAGCTTTCAAAGCCCCATTCATAAAGGAGTTCTGTATAACTCCTGACAAGCACTTCTTTCTCTCTGAGCCTTGATTTCCTTGTTTGTGTGTGAGGAAGGGTAACTAATAATACTCACCCCCAAAGTTGTTATGAGGATTAAGCCAAGCGGCAAATATAGTCCTCTGTTCCCATGATTATGTGCGTCGAGAAAGCTCCTTGGGTCCTCACAGCAGCCCTGGGGTAAATGGAGGCACTACTGTAAATGCCTTGGAGAAATCCAGATGAAAGAGGATCTCTTCCAAAACCTCTTTAAGGGAGTCCAAAATCAACCCACAATTTTAATTTAATCAATAAATACAGATACAACAATTGTTTTAGTTTCCTCAGCTTCTGGAGCAAAGCACTTGGTGACTTTAACGAACACAGATCTTTTTTTCTGAGGATTCTGCAGGCCAGAAGTGTGAAATCAGTTTTTCTGGCCTGAAATCAAGAAGCTGGCAGAGCTGAGTTCTCTCTGAGGCTCCAACTAAGAATCATGTGTTAGGTGGAATGCAGCTGGCATGCCTTGGCTTGTGGCTCCATCCCTCCAGCCTCTGCCTCTGTGGTCCTATGGTCTTCTCCTCTTTGTGTTAAATCTCCCTCTCTCTCCTATGAGGATACATGTAATGGCATTTTGGGCCCATACAGAGAATCCAGGCTAGTCTCTCCAACTCAAGAGCCTCAACTTTATCATATCTATAAGGATCCTTTTTTTTTAACCTATGGTAACATTTATATGGTAACATTATAGGATTAAGGCCTGGTATCTTTGGGGGCCATGGTCAGTCTTTAAACTAGTATGATATACATATAGTCTCTCCTGGAACAAAGTCCAGCAGAACCCAGGTGTTTGGGGAATTACACCCTAGAGTCAGGCTATTTATTCCTGGTACTGCAGGCGCTTCAAGCTGAACTGAAGAAATAAAATAGTTCTGGAAAAATGCTGTGGAAAGCTATAATGAAGTGCTAGAAATTAAGTCCAAACTGTATTCAAAAGTATGGAGAGGAAGCAAAGAGGAAAAACAAATATCATGACACACAGTGGGAACAGTCAAAGGTTGAATGGGGAGGACTAGTCTCAAGCTAAACTTAGAAGGGTCAGATGTCAACTGCTCAAGAGGAATGGAAAAAATATTCTAATTAGGAGGATTAGCAAGGACAGAAGTCAGACAGGAAATAGAACAATCCAGCAAAAGACAGTGAGCAGTGAGGGAAGACTCAGTAGCTAATGGGAAACCCATTGCTAGAAAGCCTTGAACACAGAGATAAATTGTTTAGATTTGAAGCAAAAGGCACTAGGGATCCATGGCAAGTTCTTGAGGAGAGGAAGGCTGTCATTATGCTATGTAGGGTAGCTGGAGACATGAGTCTGGAAAGCCAACAGGAAAATTTTGACACAATTCAAATTCAAATTTGAGTAGTAGAGATGGAAATAATGGGAAGGTTAGAATCTGAGAGACCATTCACAGAATGTGTCAGAATAAAAGTTTAACAGAGATGGAGGAATACTAGGGCATCCAGGGAAGGAAGGTGAGAAATGAGCCCATTATGTCAAGGAAGAGCCTGCAATTTCTCCTTCTAGTTACTCTCTCCCCATCACCAGACTCTGGGGATCATAGTGTAACATGATGAATACCATGTATCCTGCCAATTATGGCCAGCTTATCAACATTTTTAAAGTTATGGTGTTTTTTCAGGTAATGACTTGAAAATTTCCACTAATTCATAAAACACTACATCATATAATAAAAATGAGTCACAGGCTGTTTGAGTTCAAAGTGCCTCTCCACTACTCATTCTCTTATTTGCTCATTCATTCATTTAACTAGTAGTTGTTCCCACTACTGTTCTAGGAGCTACCTATGTAATGTGAAAAGTCCTGGTCCTGCCCTTAACTTCAAAGTGTTTGTAGTCCAGTGAAGAGAAAGGTAGGCAATTCTACTATGGTAAGATCATTACTTTAAGGAAAGTATGAGAGAGCATAGGAATGTAGCAGAAGGGTCCCTTCAGCATGCCCAGAAGAGCCAGGAAGAGCTTAACAAGGAGACAAGTTTGGCTATGCCTGAGACTTGAAAAATAAGTAGGAGTTATCCAGACAGCAGTGGGGATGATTCCTTCCAAGAAGAGATGAACACATGTGCAGGCAGGAATGGAAGAGCCAGACAAGACTGGGGAAGTACAATAGACAGGGATTGTTGAAGGCCACCTGCCCCGACCCCAGGGCAGTGAGCTGGGGCTGGAGAATGGAGATCACGAAACTGCATGCAAGTAGTGGCCCCCTACACCATAGCTCCCTCCTGCTCTGAAGTTCTGTTACCCATGTAACAGATGTGCTCAACTCTTTAGTTCAATTCTGTTAAACAAATACCTATCAAGAAAGCTTTGGGCACAATCTTTGACCTTGGAAGAAAGTCTGAAAATAAAATCTTTCTCCTTCAAGTAACCATCAGCCACTGATAATTCTATCAGGTGGTAAACGTCCTAGGAAATGACTCTGAAACCTCCTGGGCAGGAATCTTTTCCAGGCTCTGTCCCTGAATAGTCTCCTGTTTTTCCTTCTCCAAGGTATTAGCAAAACTTCTCACCAAGATTCATGTGGATCTAAGATTCCCCACACTTAATTATGCAGAAACAATGAGCACCCCACTTCCTTAGGGTTCTGTGATACCCTTCCAAATATCACAGAACCCTCAGCTGCCAGCAGCATCCTCTCTCCTTGCTGCTCCTTTCAGCCCGTTACTCTTCTCCTGTTATGTACAAACTTCTTTGAAGTCCAGGCCATGCTCACCATACATACCAATATGGGTGACATCTGGTCTTGTCCACCCTTTCTCTTCCCCATTCCCTGAAGATTTGCTTACTACCCACATCATCCTGGGGGCTTTCACACTCATAAAAAGATGCAAGTAACATTTTGGTATAGGCACCTTGACCTTCCCTCCTCTTCATTTAGGTCTCCCATTCACATCACCAGAGTTTGGATCTTGGTGTCACCCAGATCTGTCTTCCCTTTGAAGTCCTATCATCCTTGAGTACCCTACTCTTGACCATAACCTTCTATCATCCTGCTATTCAATGAATTTGCTCATCAAACTCATGGAGGGGCCCCCTCAACCTCTGAGCTCTGTTTTTCTTCCATTAATCCTACCACCTTGGTTCTGTTTTTTCTCCATCTGGCTTGTGCTTGTGGTTCCTCACTTTCTCTGCTCTGTTAATAAATTTGAAAGGGTCCTCACCAACTTGCATTTCTACCACATTCTCCTATTACATCCAAATCTCAGATGAATCCAGTGACCTGTTCTCCTGGCTGCCACACTTAAGCAACTCAATCCTAATGCAGAGAAATCACACATGCATTCTAGACAGATGACACTGCAAATATGTGAAGTCCAACCCTCAATACCTTTGTCAATCACAGATTAATTAGCTCCCTTTCCAATACCTTGCAATGGCTCTTCCTACTCTCCCTTCTTTTCTCAAACCCATTAAGACATTTAGTCTTCGGTCATGAACTCTCTCAGTTTTCTGTTCTCATACCTTCAGAATTACCTGGATCTGTACTTTCCCCTATTTCCTTCCTTCATTCCCAAAGGAAAAGGTGTCCTCTTCTTATTTCTACCTTTTCTGTCATCTCCATGACTAGTGCTTTCAAACATTGGGCCACTTGTGTACAGTTTCAATAATTTTTATTTTATTGGCTTTTCTCAATAGCCTATAAAATATGTAGTCTCATCAGTTTTCAAAAACAAATACTTTGATTTTATATTCTTCCTCCCTATTCACTACCTCTCTTTCTCTGCCACTTTACTGCCAAACTACCTGCCCACTTTCTCCATTTCCCTCCATCTCACTCATTCCTTGGCCCTCTGTAATCAAGCTCTGCTATCATAGGCAACTACTTTGGCACATAACAACAACCATCTCACATTTTGCAATTTGTGGATTCTTTCTTATTTCATCATGTTTTACTTTGATGTGGCATTTGACAGTGTTGATTATATCTTTCTCTAAAATCTTTCTTGTTCCTTATCTTCTCTGATTCTACACTACACTACACTCTCCTGCTTCAATTCCACATTGTTGAACACCTTTTCTCAGCTTCTTTCAAGACCTCGTACTGCTGCCCATCCCTTTCATACATATGTGCCTTCCCTGCCACCTTGTGTGAACGCCCTGGGAAATCTCATTCATCACTTGGCTTTGATGCTACCAGGAAGTGGATTACTGTGAACCATACATCTACTCTCTTCTGAATCTTACTGGTGGGTATTCAATTTCCTTTTAAACATTTTACTAGAATATTCCATCACATAAAACTCAACATTTCTCTGACTGAAGCTATCATTCTCTCCCAAACTCATTCTTCCTTTGCATTCCTAAGCTTGATTAAGAAGACCACCAAGGTTGGGATTGTGGCTCAGCGATAGAGCGCTCGCCTAGCATGGGCAGGACCCGGGTTCAATCCTCAGCACCACATAAAAATAAAGGCATTGTGTTGTGTCCATCTACACCTAAAAAATAAGCATTAAAAAGAATATTAACATTGACAACACTATTATAATTAATTCTTAAAAAAAAGAAGACCACCAGCCATCCAGTCACCCAAACTAGAATCCATGCAGTCACCTTTGACTCTTCATCATTCTCCCTTGCAGCATCCTCAAGGATGCTGCCCAGTTCTCAGTTCTACTACCTTAATAGCTCTCATAAACTTCCTCTCTACATCCTTCTACATCCCTCTACTCAAGAACAAAATCATGGCTTACCTGAATGAGTGCAGTCTTCTTTTAGTCGGGCTCTTGGCTTTCAAACTAGCTGTCACCACCCTCTAATCTGTCTTTCTCTCTGCTTTCAGAGTAATATGTACGAGGCACAAAGCTGGGTATGTTTGTTATAGCTTAAAACTATTCAATAGATTTTCTTTGTGGGATAAATTGTGAGCACCTATGTGGGAAGCCACCAAGTCATGTGACCAGCGTTCTCCTCTCCTGATGGGTTTGAGGCACTATCAGTCATCCCCAATGATGGGGCTACTTTTAAGTGGCTGTAGATGGTAGCCCCCATCTTGAGAGTAGTAAAATTGCAGCCAAATGTGTCTTCATGCATGGGCGTGCCTTCCTACATCCCCAGGGATCGAGTTATTACCTTACCTGTCCTTGTAACCCTGCCCCTCTTGACCTTTTTTGGATGGAAATTTCTAAGAACCAGAGTCCCCACAATAAAAGACCACTCCAAAACAACCTAGCGCTCTCTCGCCAGCCTCTGTGATATTCCCTGCTCTCCCATTTGAGGAGCTTGAGGCCGGGGACAGAGGAGCCGTCCCAGGGCTTGAATTTAAAGGTAAATTGTTGTCTGTGTTTTATTTGATACCTTAGGAAATTCACTCAAGCGACCTCTAGTTTAGCTGCCTGCACTGGCTGTGGGCTGTACACCTGGGTATGCATTATGCAACCCTCCACAACACATGTGCCTACGTGTGCTACCATGCACACTTTTATCTTCAGATATATTCTTCCAGGTATACTGAGTTTCAACCTACCACTTGTGTTTCCTGGAATCTAATGGATTATTTCCAGCATAGAAGGTTTTCTTTTGTTGCCTAGAATTGCTTCTCTCACCTTAATTACCTGGCAAATCATTATCTATCTTTCAAGATTTGGCTCAAGAACCATCTACTTGGCTCTCCCACCACTGGTTAGAATTAACCTCTCTATCCTGAGCCCAGATCTCTGTTGTAGCACTTTCAATGCTTGATTGCCATTGTTTTGGTATGTTTTTATTGTGATCACTGTGGGCAGAAGCCAGGACTGATTCCTCTTGCTATTCCCATAACAGTGTCTTGCAGGCAGAAATTGTCAATATCTTCTGTCAGCTGTTTTGAAATAATGTCATAAAATGAAACTCAGTTTTGACAAGTGTATGTGTATATAACTGTATACCATCACCATAGTTATGATATAGAATATTTCCATCATCAAAAAAAGTTCCCTGGGCTGGGGATGTGGCTCAAGTGGTAGCGTGCTCACCTGGCATGCGTGCGACCCGGGTTCGATCCTCAGCACCACATACAAACAAAGATATTGTGTCCGCCGAAAATGAAAAAAAATATTAAAAATTCTCTCTCTTTAAAAAAAATAAACAAACAAAGGTTCCCTTAGGACCCTCTGCATTTAATTCCCTCTTCCTACCCTGCGCCCTAACCCTTTGTAACTTCTGATTTACTTTCTATCAGTGCAGTTTGCCTTTTGTGGTATTTCATATACATGAAATCAAATAGTAGAGAGCCTTGGTGTCTGCTTTTCACTATATTAGTATAACAATTTGGCAATTCATCCACGCTGAAGCATAAACCTCTAGTTCATTCCTTTTTCTAAATCATATTCCATTATTTATCTTTTCACTACTTGATTAGAATTTGTGTCTAGTTTGGGGCTGTTATGAACAGAACTAAGACAGTTTGTAAGTAAATCATTATGGACATGTGGTAGAAGTGGAATTCCTGGGTCATATGGGAAGTGCCTATTGAATTTTCTAAGAAATGAGCCCAACTTTTTCCAGTTGACCATAGCATTTTTCATTCTGACCATCAATGCACAGGAAATTCAGATTCCATATACTTGTCAGTCACTTTAATCTTAGCTATTCCAGTAGATGTGCAATGGTATGTGACTGACTAATGATGGTGAACATCTTTTCATGTATTCATTTGCTGTACATATTTCTTTGTTAGTAAAGTATATTTTTAGTCTTTTGCTCATTTTTTAAAAGTTTAGTTTTTATATTGAATTGTAAGCATTCATTATATAATACAAATAAAATTCCTTTGTCAGATATGTGTTTTGTAAATACTTTCTCACAGTCCATGGCTTACATTTTGATATTTTAGCACTATTTGGGAAGAACAGAAGTTTTTAATTTTGGTAAAATCTAATTTACTAATTTTTGCACTTTGTATGCTACTTAATAAGTTATTTCTTAACCCAAGGTCTTACCCTAAGATTGTTCTGTTTTCTTCTAGTAGTTCTATAGTTACAGCTCTTTTATTTATGTCTTTGTTCCATTTGTTGAAAAAATTCTTTTGCCATTGAATTGCCTTAGCAACTTTGTCAAAAATCAATTGGTCATATCTATATGAACTGATTTTTAGATCTACTATTCTATTTTACTGAACCATATCTTGTCTTTGCTCTGATACCACACTATCTTGAGCTCTCTTGCTTTGCAATCAGGAAATATATTTCAAGTTTTTACAGCCTTATTAGAACTATTCTGCTATTCTAGGTCCTTTGAGTTTTCATGTAAATTATAGAATCATCTTGTTAATTTCTATAAAAAAGCTTCTGGGATCTTAATTGGGTTTGGTGTTACTTTTAATCTATAGATTAATTTGTAAATAATTGATACCATTTTTTAAATATGGAAATTCTTTTTACATATAAAGTACTTAAGTCCATTCAATTTGCATAGAATTTTATATTTTACAGAACAAACTCACATATGTTATCTCATTAGATCCACCTAACCACACTATATGGTAGAAGAGAAATGCCAGCCTCACGTTGCAAATCAGAAGTCTAATAGACTTCACTTAGGTCAACTAGTAAGCATATGGTGGTGCCACTTGGCTTGGCTTTTCCTTTCACTTCAGTAATTTTGATGCTTGGTCCTGTAAAAAATTGATCTGATGTATCTAAACCGTTGACAGTAGGCCACAGCAAAAAAAAGACCTGTGAATGCAGAAAACTCAATCCTTCAGAATTGCTGCCTTTACTTGGGTGAAGAGGAACCTGGAAACCCAGCTCTGAGATTTGCCTGCTCAGTAGCTCCAAGTTTCTTGTGCCAACCACCATTCCCTGCCCTAATCCCAGCTCTCTGGGGCGGGGGCTGAGGCAGGCAGATCACAAGTACAAGACCAGCCTGGGCAACTTAGCCAGTTCCTGTCTAGAGTCAAACAAATAACTAACTAACTAACAATAACAACAATAATCTACAGATGCCTAAGCCTCCTCCCCCAACAAGAATTGGATTCAATTGTTTGGGGCACCAGGATTTTATAAAAGTTTACCAAGTGACCCTAATACCCCACCAGGTTTGAAACCTATGATTCCAAGTTTCCAGGGACAGTCAGTAAGAACAGTCAGAGGAGAGATTTCTGAGAGCTGAGCAGAGAGAGAACTGCCTCTGGGTCAGAGATCCCTTGAATAGCAGAGGGAAGAAAGATGAGAGAACTAGATGAAAGGTCTTGTCAAATTCATGAAATCAGGAGGAGATGCTAAAAATTTCACAACTCTTTTCTCTGGGGATTGATCCCAAGCCCTTTCAAAATATCATTACCCTCACTGAAGAATAAGAAATTCAAGTCTCACAGAATCAGATAAATTCATAATAGGAAACAATGAGAGATTTGGTTGTTCAATTTTCTTATGTCAGAGATAAGAAAACTGAGGTCCTAGGAATTCATGACTGGTTAACACTGTGCAGTGAGGGTATGAAACTCAGGGCTGCTGGGTCCTTGGAAGGGTTCTTTCCACCCTTCTGTGGGCCTAACCATCTGCTTACTTTATTCTTTAAAGTAAAGCCACCTGGGATACAGGAGCCGATTTTCAAGTTTATGGGTCATTCAGGCCATAGCCTCCCAAGTCTTGCTGCAGCAGAATCATCCCCCCAAATTAAAAAGACAGATCCTGGGCTCACCTGAAAACCTAAATCACTGGGATGGAGACTAGGAATGATTCCTCCAGTTCACTTTGCTTTCCTCTTTCACTCTGCTACTTGATCTCTGGCCTGTTTTATTTTATTAAGTGTTTTGGACCTGCAGGGTCTGGAGAGGGCTGATACTGGAATCCATGGCAATTCCTAAATGGGTGAACATCTGTGACTTTTGTTTGTGGAAAATCCACACCTACCTGCAGAATTAGCGGGAAACAATACTAGATCTCCAGACGTATGCAACCAAGGATTTTTCTTACTTCCAAAAGATATGATGAAAATTTAAAATAGCAACTGAAAAAAAAAGCCACACACAAAAAAAAACAGATACTAGACCCGAGCTTTACAAAATGACCAGAAAAACAGAATTGATCCCAGCTTGGGTGAATCTGCAAAATGCTGAGGGTGGTCAGATACCACATAGAGGACTGGCATCTGGACTGGGCTGGATCCCCTCGCACCTTATGTCTCAATCCCTGCAGAGCCCCGCCCTAGTCTCCCACCCCAGAAGCCTGCAGGCCTTTTTCTGTTGGGAGCATCCACCCTGAGGCAGGTTGTGGAGGGCTGGAGCAGCACCAGGACTGTGACCTCAGCCTCTGCAGTTTACTGGGCATCCTAGGCTCTGTGCAGGGTTTCCAGACCAAGCTCAGGGATCCTGATCTTCAAAAGCAATCGCTTTAGATGATTCAGCGGGGTGGCACCAGTGCTGCAACCAGCAGCGCCCAGTACAGAGCACATATTCGGGACATATTGGTCACTATTACTGTGTATGGGGAGTAAGGGCAAGGGTCAGAGTTCTGGCCTTTCTTAGCCCCAAACCAGCCCTCCCATGTGGAGCCATGGGCTCTCTGCTTCCAGACCCCTGAGCTCCTCTGTACTCCACCCACCCACCCCCACCTCCCCCTATCTACCCCCATGTGGGGGTCTCACCAAACGTTTGGCCTTCCTTCTTTCATTAGTGGCCCTCAGCCCTTCTTTACATTGAATAATCTGGCTTGGTGTTTAAACCCACCAATGCTGGGGCCAACCACCTTGCTTCCTGAACTTTCTAAGAGGCATCTGGGTTAAGCCTACAATTTCTGGTAATTATGGGGAGGGCAGGGAGATGATGTGCCCTCAGCCTCTGGCCTCTGGGATCTTGCATCCATGCAGAGAAATGAAACTTCTCCCATATTCTCATTCATATTCATATTCTTTCTTTCTCTTTCTCCCCCCACCACCTCACACAAACACACATACACACACCCCACATCTGGGTCCTTAGGAACCCAGAGAAGAAATTTGATTCCCTCAATGCAACTAGAAAGTTGAGTATTGTAGCTCTTCTCTGGTTTTTGCCTCTCCCCTGATCAGGGTCACCTCCCTGGCCCATTGCTCAGCCACTTACTGGCTTACTGGCTTACTGGCACTTGTCTTTGTTTCAGTTCCCCCCAACCATTTCTGAAGTCAAATAAGACTCTTGCTCAGCCGTGAGAGGAGCACTAAAGCCAGCTTCTAAGGTAAACATTCACCTGGGTTCTCTTCTGGGGATTTTTAGGAGGCTCTTCCTGGGTCTCTCCCATGCTGGGTTCCCTGTTGGACTCTGGCAGCAGCTGAGAGAAGCCTACTCTAATTTGTGTTGCTACCAAGTAATGCAGCAGCGAAGTTACTGGGCACCCAGCTCCAAGGAGCCCCTTTGCCCCTGGTAGTACCAGGTCTGCTGAGCTGAGCCGTGAGATGGGCCAGTCCTAGCTCTTGGCCATCATCATGATGTCTTTGGAGATTGCCCTTGGAAATGACTGGCTAAGAGCCTCAGGGTTTGAATGTCATAGAAGAAAGAAATGATATCCTCTGAACACTGGGTTTGCACCTTCTACAGCATCCTCATTTGTTTTTGTCCCTCCATCTTAGGAAAAAGCAGCCTTGACTACTGCAATAGACTCAGTCTATAAGGGAGATAGGCAAGCATATAAACAATGTCAATCCAGCATATTGGTCCTGTAGCTAATGGGCTGCTGTCCTTCAAGGTGTGGTGGGGCAGAATGATTGGTGTCAGAGAAGTGGAGTAGCTTAAAGCTTATTTTAAGACAAAGAATGGATTGAGGGTATGGTTCACAGTCTTCATGCCTTGATATGTGTCAACAGTTCACCCTCCTCAGTGTGTTAGCTTTCCATCACTATAACAAAACACCTGAGATAATTGCCATATAAAGAAGAAAGATTGATTTTGGCTCACAGTTTTATAGGTTCTAGTCCATAATTAGTGCTTTATTTTGGGCTGATGGTAAGGCAGCCCATCATAGTGGGAGCATAACAAGGGGCAAAGAGAAAGAGACTGGGGTCCCATAATCCCCTTTGAGGCACACCTCAGATGACCTAAGGGTCTCCCACTAGACCCCACCACCTAAAGCTACCACCATTCTGCAGTAGTGCTACTCTAGGGACCAAACCTTTAACACATGTGCTTTTAAGGGGCATTCAAGTTCTAAACTGTAGCGCTCAGGCCCGCACTGTCCAGTCCATGTGTTACTTCCATGGGCCTATGCAAGCTGGCCTCCACGTCTTGTGCCATGTGGCAAAGGGCCCATTAGTGCATATGGAACAAGGCACCACCCCAACCACACCAGCTTGATACATTCTCTCCCAGCATGGAAGAATGTACCTCCTTGAAGTTGTTCATACCTGACTGCTCTGGGCCATGGCTTCTGCGGCCCCTCATTGATTTCCCCAGAACAGTGTGGCTCTTCCATCACTTTGGCCCCAGATCATTTGCCATTTTCCTGAACATATTCTGTGATATTTTCTTAAAATGCTGAGAGATCACTCTCTAGAACCTCTATCTGAGGCTCTGCCTTTGAAAGAGGGTATGAAAGTTTACGAATGTACTAACAGTGTGAATGGTGCCAGTTCCTGAGGCTTACCTCTACTTCTGATCCATCCCACTGATTTAATGTCCATAATGCTTTTTTTGTTGTTATTATTATGGTTGTATATGCACATGAAACCTACAATTGTAGGCATTTTAAGTGTATTGTTCAGGGGCATCAAGTATATTCACATTACTTTATGATCCTCAACACTACTATCTAGAACCTTTCAACACCCCACAGACTTTTCCATTAAACCATAACTGTTATAGCAACTACCATTCTACTTACTGTCTCTGTAAATTTCATTTAGAAAACACATTTTCATAATTAAAAATATGCTAGTCATAAATTAGTATAATTGGTGAGGAGAACTGAAGATTGAACCTAGGGGCACTCTACCACTGAGTTATATCCCCAGACCTTTTTAAAATTAGTTTTCTATTTTGAGAGACAAGGTCTTGCTGTTTCCATGGCTAATCTTGCACTTGCAATCCTCCTGCTTCAGTCTCCTGAATATCTGGGATTACAGGTGTATGCCTCTGTATATGGCTCCTAATTTCTTTTTTGCAAAGTTAATTCATAGAAATGCTACTGATTTTTGCAAGTTGATTTTGTGCCCTCCAACTTAATTCATTTACTAATTCAAACAGTTGGGTTTTTTGTTTTGTTTTGTTTTGCTTTTATGGAGTCTTCAGTAATTTCTAAATATAAGATCAGAGATAATTCAGCTTCATTTTAAATTTAGATATATTTAATTTTTTTCTCTTGTCTAATTTGTCAGGCTAGGATTCCTAGTGCTATGGTGAAAAGAAGTGGTGAGACTGGACATCCTTGTCATGTCCCTGATCTTAGAGGGAAAACATTCAAATTTTCACAGTTGAATATGATCTTAGCTCTGGCCTTTATGGGTTGAGCTACATTTCCTTTATATCTAAATTGTTGAGAGTTTTTCTTTTAATCATAAGACACTGAATTTTGTTGAATATCTTTTCATCATCTGTTGATATAATCAGATAGTTTTTGACTTTCATTCTCTTACTGTGGTGTATCACATATATTGATTTGCATATGTTATACCATACTTGCATGCCAATGATAAATTCCACCTAATCATGGTAAATGAACTTTTTAATAGGTTGTTGAATTTGGTTTGCCAGTATTTCATTGAGGATTGTTGCAAATATGTGAATCAGGGATATCAGCCTGCAATTTCCTTTTCTTTTGGTATCCTTGTCTGGTTTGCTTTACAAAATGATTTTTGTCATTTTCCCCTTTATTTGACTTCTTTGGAAAAGTTTGAGAAGGATTGGTTTTTTCTCTTAAGTATCTATTAGAATTCAGCAATGAAGTCATCAGGCCCTGGGCTTTTCTTTGATAGGTGACTTTTTTATTACTATTTCAATCTGCATGCTCATTATTGGTCTGTTCAGATTTTCTATTTCTTCATTATTTTGTCTTGGCAGGTTGTATCTAGGAATTTCTCTCTTCTAGTTTATCCAATTTGTTAGTGTATAAATCATAGTAGTCTCTTAGGACTTTTTTGCATTCATGTGGTATTGATTGTAAAGTATCTTTTTTTACTTTTTATTTTGAGTCTTCTCTTTCTTCTTAGTGTAGCTAAAGATGTGTTGATTTTGTTTATCTTTCCAAAAAACCTACTCTTGTTTCCACTGATCTTTTCTATTGTTTTTCTGGACTATATTTCATGTATTTCTGCTCTCATCTTTATTATTTTCTTTCTTCTACCTACTTTAGGCTTTTTTGCTCTTATTTTTCTAGTTCTTTAAGGTGTGATATTAGGTTATTTAGAATCTTTTTTAATGTAGGCATTTATTGCTATAAATTTTCCTCTTAAAATTGCTTTTCCTGTGTCCCATAAGTTTTGATATGTTGTGTTTCCATTTTTTATTTGTGTTGAAATACTTTTAATTTCCCTTTAATTTCTTCTTTGAAGAAATGCTTGTGAGCATGTTGTTTAATTTCCACATATTTGTGAATTTTCCAAAATTATTGTTATACTATTGTGGCTTGAAAAGATACTTAATATGATTTAATCTTCTTAAGTTTGTTAAGACTTATTTTGTGGTCTAACATATGAACTATTCGAGAGAATGTGTACTTTACACTGTTGCTATTATTGGATGGATTCTGGATTTATTTGTAAGGTCCATTTTGTCCAAAAGGCAGTTCATATCTAAAGCTTCTTATTGATTTTTTTTTGTCTTGATGAACTGTTTATTGTTGAAAGTGTGTCATTAAAGTTCTCTAATTTTTTTTAATGAACCAGGGCCTCACACAAGCTAGGTAAGCTGTCTACCACTGAGCTACATCTGAAATCTGAAATCTCCTTATTTTACAGTATTTCTGTCCCTTATCTGGTTAAATCTTGGGGAGTTCATCAGTGGGTATAGCAAATGCCTCTAGTATCAGGGTGGGGGTCTAGCTCTTTATGGCAGCTGAGCTAGAGCCTGGAGCATGATAATGCATAGTGAGAGCTTTCTCCAAGCCCAAAGTGTAAACCACCTTCCTATATGATGACTCCTGTGTCCAAACTGTGAGCAGACCCAGTGTAGCCATAAAGCCCCAGTCTGGATGCAGGCATTTGTGGGTGGGACACACTTCCAGGTTGGAAATTGTGAGGAGTGATTCCTTCCCCAAAGCAGTTCAACAATGACCATTTCTTGGGAAGAGAAAGGCTGTGGAGCTACATTTCCCTTTTTGAATAGTATGGTAACCTCAAGGGCAAGAGATATGAATGTACTCCACAAAAGAGGCCACTGGGAGCCACAGTGGTTCTTACCATGTGGCTGATACCAATAGCCTCCACCATTATTTTTCCTAGCTGTCTCCTGGTGTCTCTGCTAATTTAATTAGTAACCCTTTTATACGGCTATTCTCCATTTTGTGTTCTGTTGTATTACTGCAGATTCTTTAATGGGCCCCTAAAACCTCTCTGGATTATTTTGGCTGATAGAAGAATGAAGGTTGACTTCTCTTACTGTGCCATTTTGGATTTCTATACCCAGAAGCTCTGAGTACATTTTTTTTTTTTTTTTTGTGGTGCTGGGGTTCAAACCCAGGGCTTTGTGCATGCAAGGCAAGCACTCTACCAACTGAGCTATATCCCCAGCCCACTAAGTACAATTTTTAAATTCAGTATATTTCTTTTTGTGCAGGGAGAATACCATTATGATTAATTGGGGTTCAAATTTGATGTTCCCTATAAAAAATGATTGCAAAAATTCATATATCAAATCAGAAGAGCTATATAAAATCAAGCAGTGGATTGGGTTGGTCCTCAGGTATAGTTTGCCAGAGCTTGTACCAGGTGCTCAATAACAAACTGGTGAATGAATGGAATCAATTCTAGTCTCACCTACTCCTTGGTGACAATTTCAGCATAGAAATAAGCTTGGATTGAAAACAAACTGCTCTCATGGAAATGGCACATCAGTTTTACAGCAGCTTCTCCCATATCTGCCTCTTTTTACTTCAAGGACATACTCAGTGAGTGAAGCTTGGTTGGCCTTCAAGTGGAGTTAGGGAATCCTAGAGCATGATTCTGCATGATTTATTCCTCAGGGAGTCTTTGTGTACTGCTTAGAGTTCTCACTCTTTACTTCCAAACACAGCAAAAACAAACAAACAAAGCAAACACAGCACTTAAGTACAACTGTGTTAAAGATGGTGCCAAACAGGCCCAAATAGAGACAGAGAATAGGATGCTGTTATTATGCCTAACTAACAGCTGGCTTATCTCTTCCTTATATTCTTGACAATGATACATCTCAAACTCTCAAGGTGCTTAGAAATTACTAGAGGCTCTTGTTAAAAGTCAGAGTCAGATTCTGAGGTGGGATGGAGATTCTGCATTTTGAGTGACCTCCAGGTGGTAGGGATGCACTGGCCTGGGCAGTATGTTTTGAGAAGTATGCCCCTTCTCTACCTGGAGGCCCAGACAGTCAGGCCAGGTAGGCACTCTCTGAGGTGAAAATTCTTTAATTATCCAATGTATTAAAAAATAAAGGAATTATCCAATGTGTTAAATTATCCAATGTATTAAATTAATTATCCAATGTATTAAAAAATAAAGGAATGCCAAAAAGCAGTTACAAAAATATTGACATATTTTGAATGTTCACAGTTTAACAAATTGACTTATCTATCATGCCTGCACAGATATGATGTAATATAATTGTGCCTGTCACAGAATAATTATGACATTTATAAAAGTATATTAATTCCTAAAGCACTGTGGGTGTGTGATGTGGGAGTGGGACACAACTTTAAGTTTAAGCAATGGACATCTTTCCCTCTTGTTAATTTTCTCTGGGACTGAATGTATGATATTATTTTAAAATAATGTTGAAAAGTCTGAAATGGAAGTTCTTCATGCATAGGGTAGCCATTCTACCCCTGGCTCTAGTGCACTTGTACTAAGGAGTAGACCTCAGAGAGCAGGATCCCAGCCTAACATGCAGTGTCTGCTGTCCATCTTTGCTTGGGACTGCCTTTTTCCAGATCATTGTCACAAGGAATTTCTAATTCCCCCAGGAACCCTACTCTGTTTCATCCACAGAGGCTAAGGTGACCCTGTGGTCTCAACTAGACATTACATAAAAGGTAGAGATTAAAGTGGAGCAAATTGGGAAGTGAAGCTGGAGCTGAAGGAGCTGCAGGTATTTCCAGCTGGCCAGGCACTTTTCAGGGGATGGGGTTGGCCCTGGCCTTGGTAGAACTCTTTCAAGGAATCTCAGAAACTGAATCCAGTTACTCTGAGCCTGGGCATGTTTCTTGATTTGCTACTATTTACTTTGACGTATTATAGAAAGGGCTATCTTTGAATTATAAAAATTTTCATTTTAGGGGAGAAATTACAACAGCATATTTTACAAAAAGAAGTGAATTTAGCATTGGCTATAGTTCAGATGGGAGTCCCCAAAATGTTCATGTGCTGGAAGCATGGTCCCCAGTGTGGTAGTGTGAGGTAGGACCCTTAAGAGGTTAATGGGAGGTTATTAGGTCATTTGACTCCACCCTCACAAATGGATTAATGCTGTCTCATAAGAGTGAGTCAGGTTAGGTAGAAATGGATTAGTTCCCGTGAGAACAGGTTTTTATGAAAAGAGTGAGCCTGCCCCTCCCTGGTCTCTTGCTCCCTTGCTCTTACACATGCCCTTCTACAAGTGACTGTTTGCCTTTTCTGCCACGTTGTAATATAGCCAAGTGACCCTCACCAGGACATTGGCACCATTCTCTTAGACCTCCAGAACTGTGAACCTAATAAACCTCCTTTCTTTTTAAGTACCCATCCACAGGTATTTTTAATGGCAACACAACGCAGACCAAGACAGAATACTTAATTATTATTAGACTTGAAACACAGCCTGTCCCCCTACATACCCAATAAATGTGCATGCTTATTCTCACTGCATCCCAGGAACCTGACACCCTGTTTGGTGACCAGTAGGTCTCAGTGAATGAATGAAGTTTTAAGAGCAGTCCTTTAGACTCTTATTTCACAGCTGTGCCTGGAATTGCCTTTTGAGATCCTCAACTCATGGATTATGTCCCTTATTCCACTCAGCTTCACATCCTTGCTGGCAGAAACTCAGAACCCAGAATGCCAAGATCAACTCTCCTAGTGGTAACTTAACCTAGACATCTGTCTTCCTTCAAACACCTGGTACTGTTACCCCATTTACTGTCTATACTTGTTCCTTATGCAGATAGGAACAAATACAGACAGTAAATGGGGTAACCAATCCTTAGTGGATGCCAAAGCCCCAGGCTCTACAACCGGGAGAGCCAGGGCTGTGAACACTCACACTCTCCCAGGTCTCTCTTTTCCAGGTCACTACAGGCATTGTTCCTGGTGACCATCTTCTGTGGCCAGGATGATGACAGCTGCCTCAGGTGTTCCCCTTTAGAAGTGTTCTGAATCCTTTCTTTCTTGTTTATCCAATTTCCAGGGCAGGCTGAGCAAGTTCCTTAGAGAATAGGTTGGCATCACACCAAACCCTTTCAGCATTTAAAACCATTTTCTCCCAGGCTACAGCTCAATGGAGGCTCACCTGGCTGTGTGATTACCCTTTAGCCTCTGCTTCCTCCTGTCCCTGGGGCTGGAGAATAAATCAAGTGCTTCCTGGGGGACTGAGAAAGTGTGTTCTGTTTAAGGATAAGAGCATCATTTAGACATAATGAAAGATGCAGAAGAGACATTTGGCTTGGACTAAGACAAACCATTTCTAAACCAGTCATTGCTGTCTGAATGTGGTAGAATCTCTTTCCACCACAGGGACAAGGCTGGGATTGTGCAGCTCTTAAATAAATAAATGAGCTCAGAAATGAGTGTAAGAGGGCTTTCGAATAGTGAGTATGCTTGGAATGCACCACCAAGAAATAAATGTTACCTCTGTTTCCCTGAAGAGTGGGAGACTTTCATAAACTCTCAGGAGCCTGAAATAAACACAGAATTTAAAATAAGAAATAAAAATCACAAAAACAAAGGCATGTGAGCACATTTCTAATTGTCTAAAAGTCAATCTATTGATGTAATTTAATTTCCAACTGGTATATGATACATATCAATTAAGATTTCATTAAAGAATATTATCCCAGAGAAAAGAAACACAGCTGCAAATAATTAGTAAGCAGAGGAGGAAGTGAAGGGTGAAGGATCCCAAGCCCAGCTTGCCCAGTGCTTTCTGTTGCAAATAACCAAAAGTCAATCAAAATGGCTCAAAGTGTAAGGACTTTTACTTGCTTGTATAGCTTGAAAATCCAGAAGTGGGACAGGCTTCTAGAGTGTGGATCCATGCCAAAACCCCTAGTTTCCTGTGGTCTCTCTGCACCTCCACCCTCAAAATCAGTTTTATCCCAAAACTGCCACTCTCAGTTCCTCCTCCCTCATTCCTTTATTGACTTGATGGAAAACACAATTTTGCTAATTTGCCTGTGGATGTGAAAGTGCACTCTCCGAGGCAGGTGGGCCTAATCTGAATCTTGGCTCTGCCTGAGAGCTGTGCATCTTTGTCATCATGTGAAACTCTTAAGCACCAGGTTCCTCATCTGGAAAATGAAAATAATTGTAATAGCCTGAATCCTAAGATTGTTGTCAGTGTAAATGAGAGTGTGAGATGGTGGCTGGCATACAGTAGTCACTTGATAAATGCAAGGGTTCATTCTTGGTCTTCATGTAACTTACAGAAGTGTGCACAGTGTTAGACACCATGCTAGTTGAAGGAGATGAGAGTTATTGGGAATACAGAAAAGGAACTAGGCTGTTAGGACACCATGTAGTAGTATCCCACCCTTCATATCCTGTAAGACTAGACGTGGGATTGGCATCTGGTAGACAACAGAGATAAGCAGGAGAAATGGGGAAGAAGGCAACACTGGCCTCCAGCATCACTTGGGGGGTCTTAAACTCCTTTATTCAAAGCACATATTTGGTCTGATGTTTAGTTTCAATTAAAATACCCTAAGTATCTTAGTATAATGGGAAAAAAGTGGTCAACTTCTTTGAGAACCTGTGTGGTGTACAGCTGAATAAGAAGACAGGTGTGGGGGAAGTTATTTTCCTTGTTATTTAATTCTGGATGAAGTAAGGATAAATATTTCACTGTGCTTAGAAATTTTCAATGCTTTGAGTAGATGTCAAAAATTGAAATGGCTAAGGAACTTCCTCTGGGAAGAGAAAAAGCAATGGAAATCTATTTTTAAAAATCAAAAGTTAAGATAGTCCTTTCCCTATTGCCTGTCATTCTTCCTCTTATGTTCTGCTCACTTTGAGGGGCAGCCAATGAGAATCCGTAGTTTTAAGCATCATCTTTCTAAATCAATCCATTTAACAAATTTGATTTTACCATTTTCTGCCAGCCACTGTGCCTGGTGCCATTGGGGCATATATAAGGTAAGAAGGTCACAGAGTAGTGAGTAGATAACAGCAGGAGAAACAGGGAATTATGGATCCCACCGAGACCCTTTAGAAGGCTCAACTAACCCACAAAGATAGATATTGGAACTCTGTAAAGATACCTGTGTTAGCTGCAGATTTTACCTCGAAGACCCCTATTTGTATCAGAACCTCCCACCCTTCCTGCCTCAGAAGGGAAAATCTGAGACACCAACAGAAGAGAACTGATTTGCCCCAACTATGCCCCAAGAGACCAACTCAGGTCAGAACACAGTTCTAGGATCCCTCCTCAGAACATTTCCCTCCTGTTGGGGGCTAACAGCCCGTTTCCATCTGAATAAATCATCATTTAGTATAAAATACCATGAAAGAAATCAAGTTACAAAGGAAAAACTGTCAGGCATTTTTTCAAGTTGGTTTGGCAGTTACTGGTTGAAAAAGACTGTTATAAACATGGTGGCTCTAGATATACTTGCCCTTAAAAATGGGAAAAGAAAACAAACAAACAAGCCCTGAGGAAATACAATCTGTTAAATTCATCTTTTAAAAGTTTTATTTAACGGTTTTCTGCTTAGCGCACAGGACATTTTCTTGCCTAGAAAAATGAATATCTAATGTGGGGGAGGAACTGAGTAGCAAGGCCAATGAAGCTCTGATTAATGTCAATGCTGGGTCACCAGCCCTGGCAGGGGCTTTCTGGCTCATAGAGAAAGGACTGCCTTGGAAAGGAAAGCAGAGATGTTCTTTAGGGATAGGAATGTGTTGGGAGAAATTCCTTTTAAGCCAGGGTATGAAGAAGTTACTGGACCTCCCCATTGCAGCAGTTTCAAAGGCAGTGAGCTCCAATTTCACTCAGAACCAGTGGTGTCATTTGCCAACAAGAGCAGCTGTTTTGCTGTCAAAAAAGAAAAGAACAGGAAAAAAACCACTGACTTAAAGAAGGCAGTGGATATTTTTACTGTGCAAAGGATAATTTCAACACATCTGGGCAAGATCTTAAACTTACCAACTGCATAATCTAAGACTTTCATGCTTCCTAGGGATGTTTTATTAAATTGCTTCCAAGTTTTATCACTTTATTTCCAATTTGTAGCCCTGGGGACAGAACAAAAATGATTTTGTGAATCATGGGAAATGATTCAAGCTGGATACAATTTGATATTAACTGAAGGTACTCAGGAGCCACAAAGGAACTGAGCACTTTTTCCTAGATTCTGAAATGGATCTGAAGTGGCAAACGGTTATTTTTTCCTCTTAATTTAATAAAATGACAGAACAAGTTATTAAAGATCTGACACCCACTAGAATTCTGAACTACTGGGTAAATTGAATTACTTTTTCCAAATAATACAGAAGGGGAAAATAAAAGCATGCAAGTTATGGTGCCTAAGAATAAATGAAGAAAACATGTTTAGTTTTATGAAGAAATCAAATCTGTGAGACTTTTTTTTTTAAAGAATGAATTAGGATTAAAGAGAAAAAGAACATTTCTTTATAATTTGCCTTGTAAATGGCCTTCCTGGTATGTGTGGCTTAGGAAATACCTGCAATCTGTGTGGTCACGTCATTATGAAAAGAATGACACTGCCTTTGAAAAATGCATGTATGCCACATGTGAAAACATGAAAAAAATGAGCATTCTCATTTAGCCCAAACCCGTGTTAATGAATAGACAATGTTTTAATGTATAATGTGTGTTCTTGTGGCTTATTCTTAGAATTGTTGACCTGGTTTTATACAGTTGTTCCAAAGTGTGAGGGCGGGGGTACTGGTTTCAGCACCTACTCACCATACCAAAATCTGCAAATGGTCCAGTCCCTTATATAAAAATGGTGTAGTGTTTTCATAGAACATACATACATCCTTCTATAAACTGTAGTCTCTAGGTGACTTATAATAATGTAATGCTATGTAAATAGTTGTTATACTATATTATTTAGGGAATAATGATGAGCAGAAATGTCTGTACATGCTCAGCACAGAAGCAACTTAAAAAAACAAATTAAGTGGATTGAATCTGTGGCTATGAAACCCACAGATAGGAAGGGCTGATTGTATTTTGTTCTGAATTAATTTCTACCTCCCACCAGGGAAAAATACTTGTAAATACATTCAAGTGTGCATATGGCATTACATGCTTAAGAAGAAAATGATGGTGGAAGTTACTGCTTCAATATAAAGTAAGTTTTTCTCTAAATATTGTCACTCAAAATGTTGTTCATAAGCAACATCTTATATAGTTTAGTTGAGGAAGACACAATGGTCTAAAATGGGGTATCAGATTAAACAAAAAATAAAAATGTCCACTTAACTTTAAATTTCAAATAAACAACATTTTTTTATGAATAGATATGTTCCATGCAACATTTGGAACATTATTATACTAAAAATAATTTTGTCATTTATTGAAAATTTAACTGAACAACTTGTATTTTATCCTATAGTCCTAGTCTAAAATGACCTTGAAATATTAGTTTTGGATGCTTACAGAGGTTACCTGATAGAATGGGTATTTAAAAAAAGACAAAGAAATTGAACAGGTTTATTAGATAGTAATTATTTGGGGTGGTTTGATGCACCCAATTATAGTTGCTGGATATATCGAAAATAAACCTTATAAAAAATCACTTAAAAAGCATACAATAAGTGTTTTCCATATGGTGATTGCCAGATGAAAAACAAAAGAAAAGACAACTGTTTTCTACAATGTGAATAAATACTTAAACCCTGGGTAAAATTTCCAGTGATGCAACATACATAAAAAGTCAAATACCATATATCAAATACCTTTGATGGCACAAAAATTATTATTTTAGATAATTAAAAAGAAAGTAAAATTACAAAATCACTCATGTCAAAGATGTTTGTAAGAATTTAAATAGAGGCCTGCACCGCTACTGCCATTGCTGCTGCCTCTGATTCTGTTGCTGCCAGCCTGAGATTGCCTGGAGGTCTTCTTTCTGAGTGCTGCTGCCATGGAAGAAACCTCTGCCCCAAATGCAAATGAAACCGACACTGCTGCTAACCCCTGAAGATCACCTGCTGCCCCCACAGCTGCAGTTGCAGCTGCCATTGTAGCCACTGTTACTGCCGACCCGCTGCCTGCTGCCAACAACCACCACCACTACTACTGCTACCACGGGGAAACTCCAGGTTTGGTTGCACATGGTTGCACCCATTTTGGGATACCAGCCAGGGCCTGGGGCCTGGGTGCCAGCAGGTTTGCCACCGCAAGAGCCTCTGTCTGGGGACTCCAGCTGGGACTTGCAGGTCCAGTGTGGGGGTGCCTGTGGGTTTGGAGGAGCCTAGGGTCTTCTTGCCGAGGATGCTGGTGGCCTTTGTCTTGCTGCTATATCTCAGAGATGCTCCTTTGCATGAGAGTATCCCTAATGCTCTCTCTGCAAGTAGGAGCAGCATTGAGATCTTGGGACTGCAGCATGGCTGAGACTGAGGTATCTGAAGCCCAGATCAGTGGGATAGAGACTGGGTTTACAAGGGCTGATCTGAGTTTAGTGATCCCAAGAGATGTCAGAGATAGGGCTGAGAAACACTGACAGAGACAGTTCTACTTTTCAGCAAGATTTATTTTATTTTTCGATTCACCAATATCTCTACCATATTTGGAACAGGATGTTTTTTATGCATCAGTGTGTGGAGGACAATGATATATGAATGGTATTTTGCATTTTTGTTGTATTCTTATGTCTTTAATTTTTTCTCTTTGTCCGTATTCTTCCTCTTTCTTGTCTATTTTCTTTCCAAAGTTTCTCCAACCAACAGTCAATCTCTATCGGCTCCTCTTCCACTCTTCCTATGAATTTTTCCTTCTAGCTCCTCTCTTCCTCCCTCGTGAATGTTGCATACCATACTACCTCTGTTCTCTCATCCACCATTTGAAATTGTAAATCGTTTTAACAATTATTTTGTTTGTACTATAGATAGTTATTGAACTCATCATTTTGGTTTAATGCAAAAAACCAGTAGATGCCTAGGTGGGAGCTATTAGGTTTAAAACTATATATTCTGTACATTGGGTGCTGTTGATATTGGTCTCACCAGTACAGGGGAAGCACTATAAATCTTCAGGGACACTATAGGTCTACAGGGTAGAATTTATCCTATCGTAGATCCATACTTTTACATGGGAAAACACAATACCAACATGAAAAAACAAGGGAATAGAGCACCCCAAATAAACCAAGATGTTTCAACAACAGAAGCCACTAAAACAGTCAAAGAAATGTCCAAGGAGGAGTTCAGATTGTATACAGTTAAATTGGTATGTGAAGTAAAGGATAGTGTAAGGAGTGAAATCAAAGAAAAAATACAGGAAGTGAAAGACCACTTCAATAAAGAGGTAGAGATTGTGGACAAATAAAAAGCAGAAATCCTCAAAATGAAGAAATCAATAAACAAAATTATAAATTCAATAGAAAGCATCACCAACAAACTAGACCACTTGGAAGAAAGAACCTCAGACAATGAAGACAAAATATATAATCTTGAAAACAGAATTGAACATGCAGAGAAGATGGTAAGAAATAATCCAAGAATTATGGGATAACATGAAAAGACCAAATTTAAGAGTTATCAGAAGAGATGAAGGAGCAGAGATACAAACCAAAGGAAGGCATAATCTTTTCAATGATATAATGGTAGAAAATTTTCCAAACCTAAAGAATGGAATGGAAAATCAAATACAAGAGGCTTACAGGACCCCAAATGTACAAAATTACAGAAGACCCACACCAAGACACATTATGAGAATGACTAACAGAAAATAAAGATAAAATCTTAAAGGCTGTGAAAGAAAAAAAATAAAATTTAAGAAGAGTTTAAATAGAATCATTTCATATAGGTGAGAGTGGGCAAAGTGATATTTTAAAATAATCTATTTGTTTATTTGATGTTATTTTATATATTTATAACTTAATGGGAAATTATAAGCAGATATTTTAGTATTTCATCTCTACTCCTTAAAATATGAGTGTGTGTGTGTGTGTGTGTGTGTTTCTTTTTTGAATCTTATCTTGAATTTCACTGGGAAACCAGAGAATCATATTATATAGTCAGATTGCCTTGTGTTTGAACATATGTCCAAAATACGTGTGTATGAAAAAAATATTTTAACAATTTATGTCCATAAATTTCAGAAAACTGAATTCTCATACTGTCTTATGAGGATCAAACTCTGATATAACTCAATGATAATAAATCTTGTAAGGTGTGTAAGACACCTTAAGGTTTCACCCATCTAACAAATTATTATAAGTACAACTACCACTTCCAGTTAAGAGAGAATAATGGCACCAACTTTTCCTTTTGCCATAAACAATTAGAAATTTGGACAAAATATATATTAAAAACTGTTTTTCAGACATTAGACCAAAAGCAACATGGTATTGTGGACCCTTAAAACAAATAAGGTGAGTTTTACTTCTGCATGAGTTTACTGTTTGAAAGCAGTTTGTTGGCCGCAGTGTAAGAAGGACACCAAAATAAAGAAAAGTGGTCTTGGTGTGCTGAGCATATCAGGTGGCTAGAATTTAAAGACCAGTATGGGGGATGAATAAGTTAGGGAGAGAGAGGAGAGAGGGAAAGAGAGAGGGTTGGGGGGAGCAACACACTCTGAATACTTAAAAGTTCCCCTCAAGTCTTTGAATACTGATATGAGTACTGATCTATGCATGAGAGAAAGCCTCTTGGAATTTGATGACATAACAATAAAGATATCCAAAGTAAAATATGAAGAAAATAAATATTTAAAATAAAGAAACAGAATACAAATGAGTTGTAGGACAATATAAAAGTGTCTAACACACGTAACTAGAGTCCTACAAGGGGGAAGGGACAGAAAAATATTTGGTAAAGTAATGGCCAAAGTTTTTCTAAATATGGTGAAAAGGTGAAGCCAACAGGTCCAGAAAATCCCCAAAAGGTCAAAAGGTATAAATGTATTGAAAAAAAAGTAAGACTACAGAGGCTGGGGTTGTAGTTCAGTGGCAGAGTACTTGCCTAGCATGTATGAGCCACTGGTTCCATCCTCAGCACCACATAATAAATAAATAAAGGTATTGTATCCATATACAAAAAAAAAAAAAAACTATAATCACTGAAAAACAGTGAGAACCAGGAAATCTTGAAAGCATCCAAATAAAAACAAAAATTTACATTAGGCACAGAAGGAATATAAGAACAACTTTTCAATGAAATTATGCAAGCAGAGATAATGAAAGATATTTTTAAAGTAGAACCACTGACTCATGATAATACCTTTTAAAATTGAAGACAAAACCGAGAACTTTTCAAATAAAAGCTGAGATAATTCATTGTCTACAAATTTACACTATAAGAAAAATTAAAGGAAGTTCTTTGAACAAAAGAAAAATGGATATTAATTCCTTATAAGATATATAATTTTCAAAAATTTTATCCCCCTTTGCGGTTGTCAATTTGCTTTATTGGTATTCTTTGATACAAAAAAGTTCTTAATTTTGAAAAATCTAATTTATCTAATTTCTTTTTTGTTGCCTGTGCTTTCGTGTCATATCCATGAAATTACTGTCAAATCTAATGGCATAAAATTTTTATTTAAT